TTAACCCCTCCTTTGTCGCTCCCCTTAACCCCTTTAAGCCTTCGCCCCACTGAAGACTTCCAGCGCAAGGAGAACCCGCACCTGCTGCTGGAACCCCTCCCCCGCACACCCGTCCCGCAGAGCCACCTGCCGGGGTGCCCGCAGGTCATTAACCCCTTTGCTCACTCTCCCTCCAGCCCACACCTCCGATTTGATCAAGCCCCCAGCTGGGGGGCAGGGGGCTCCCCTTTGGGTTCTCCTTGAGCTGAGCCATTTCCTCCCTTGGAGACCCCACGCCTGGGTGGTCACAGGCCCCACAGGGACAGGACACGGGGCTCTGCTCGGTCCCCACTGCCAGGGCCTGGCCGCCCCCGGAAGGAGTTTGGGGCTGGCAGTCCCGCCCTGCCTCTGGATCAGACCTCCGCTGGGGACCTCTGGGCACCTGTCTCCTCTCCTGCCATTATGGTCACAGGGCAGTCCCTCTGTCATGGGGATGTCATTTGGAGGTGCCAGCACCATCACGTTTGTAAAACATGCCCCCCACGCTGCCATTCCTCCTTGTTTATTTTATTTTATTTTTTTAATATATTTTATTGATTTTTTACAGAAGGGAAGGGAGAGAGATAGAGAGTTAGAAACATCGATGAGAGAGAAACATCAATCAGCTGCCTCCTGCACATCTCCCACTGGGGATGTGCCCGCAACCCAGGCACATGCCCTTGACCGGAACCGAACCCGGGACCCCTCAGTCTACAGGCCGACGCTCTATCCACTGAGCCAAACCGGTTTTGGCCCTCCTTGTTTATTTACTTTTCCCCACAGAACTTGTCATCGTCCAATGTCCTGTGCTTCTCATTTATTTTCTCCTAACGATCTGCCTCCCCCAGGAGGAGTGTAACTTGTCATTTTTGTGGCTGATTTGCATACGGTGGTGTCTGTTGCCTGGAAGCCCCCCACCCCCACCCCCTACACACACACACACACACACACACACACACCCGTGCACGTGGTAGGTGTGCAATGCGCATGGTGTTCAGGGAGCAAGTACGTGAATGGTGAGCCCGCCCAACAGGTTTGCTTATTTTTATGATTTTCGTCACCACCAACTGGTCGTGAGAATTCATTCTAGGTCAAAGCACTCCGTCCGCACAGACCTGGGAGGCCGGACTCAAAAATGGCAGCTATTGGGTTTGCAAATTCTTTTTTGCTTATTTGTTGTTGTTGTGTTTTTTTAATAAAAAGAATGCCCGGATCTTAAGTACAATGAGTTGTGACCAACAGATACACCCATGTGACTAAGCATTCAAATCAAGATGGAGAACATTTCCGTCACCCAGAACGTGGCTCTTCCCCCCTTTCCAGGCATTGCCCACA